TGGTCTCGGCAGCCTGTCTAATCCTCGCGGGCACTCCTAGTCCTTGGATTTTCCCGCGATCGATTGCAAGCCCCACTACACTCGCCACCTCAGCCACCTGGCAACTCCTAACCCCTCCGTGTGAAGGGACCCTCCCCTCCAAGTCCCAGAGTTCCACCCCTGGGATTCCTTCCTTCTGGACCACGCTTCCTGGCTCTCCATCTTTGCCCTGTGATTCTAACTGCCCACTAGGTCCTGTGTAACCCGTGTGCGGTCAGGAGCCGAACCTCTTTCCATAACTACCCTCTCACCTGTTTGTCTTCCCGTGAGCTCATATTCAAACTCACAGATGACAACGTGGCTCTTCCCCTGTGTCCCCTCTACAGAGACTAGGCTGGGAAGTCATTAGTCATTACTAATAAATGAAGGCAGGAAAGACACCATATCGTTTCCTTCCGCTTATCTTAGTGGTCCAATGCTGGTTGGGGCACAGGTTGAGGACCAAAGAGGCTCCACTAATTTCTTGTGCTGGCCTCCATATCCTCCGTACCTTGCTAGCTCCAGTCCAGCCACCTGTTGAAATTGTGGGTTTATCAATGGCACAATGTTTGTATTTCCATGGAGGAAGAGACCAGGTGCAGGCACATTTCTGAGTCCCCTGCTCTGGGCCATCAGTAGCTGCGGGAGGGAGCTGTGTTTCTATGGAAGACAACAATGTACACAGGCTGCACTGCTGGACCCGCTACATGCTGGCCTGGCCTGGCCCTGCCTCCTGTGGGCCAGCCTCATTGATCAGATGAGAACACCCAGATGGAGACCAGGGACTGAGATCAGGAGGCCATAGCCAGCAAAGCCTCACCCTGCTCCACCTAAAGAGAAGGGACTGAAGATAAAGGGGTGGGGGAGAAGGTGGTGTCATATCAGCCTTGTCAGAGAGTCAGTCAACAAATGTGTGTTTCATGGCTCTTCCTTGGAAAGTGATCACAAGGGAAAAATTCGAGGCGGGAGGGGGCTGCAAACGGTGGTTTCTTGCTTGTCTCGGCATCTTTCCAGCTTGCAGCCTGCTTCCTGACCCTGCACAATGGGAAGTATGTGCACCTTCTTGAGGAACCCAGACTAGGAAAACTGGAGCCTAACTATGGCTTGGGTCCATAAAGGGGCAAGGGATGTCCTTCCTTTTGCCTGGGACAGAAAGGACAGAGGCTGTATGCTATATTCCCTGAGGTCCACAGAGGAGGGTAGCAGTGAACCAAAGACCAGTTGGGCTTCACACTTGGCAGCTGCCCAGATCCACTCATTGGGCTCTTCCAAGGACCTCTCTCTACCTCTGCCTTTAAACATGCCACTGCTGGGGAAACCGAGACCCCAGGTCTCTCCAACTCAGGAATGTTTCCTGCTTGTGACAATTGAGCGGCCAAAGCAGATTAACCTAGGTGTTAATCCCCTCTAATGGTTTCAGAATCCTCGGTGCGAGGCGCTAAGCCGGCCTTTCTCCTCGGCCTGCTGAAGCCCTTCCCGAAGCTTCGCCTGCAGCCGCGCCGATGCTATCTCGGCCCCGCCTGGCAGCGAACCCGCACTAATCCCCGGTGCTCGCTTTCTTCCCCTGCCTGCCTGAGATGGGGCCGATTGGCGTTTGATTACCGCGCTATCGGGGACCCTTTGTGCAATCGGCCTCAAATCCCCTAATTCCGTGATAAAGGAGGCATTAGCAGACGTTTGCTGTAGAAAAGGCACTGGCATGAAAGAATGCAATCAGGGGAATCCTGATGGCCTGGTCCAAGCCTGCTAGCGAGTAAGGACAGCAAGGAGAGGGAGACGCCTCTGTCCTACTGGACAGGGGAGGGGCGGCCCAGCAGAGGGCATCGTGGGTCCTGGCTTCTGACATCTCCAATCCATCTTCCCCAGTTCTAAACACCTGAGCTGCAAAGGGGTCCACCCCCACCTCCAGCCTCACAGTCGCACTTTCAAGACCTTTGACTTTGGCTGTATCTGCCCTGCCTGCTCAACCTCCAAATATCGAGAACCAGGAGTCTGTCAGTGCTTGGATCCTCCTATCTGCCCTTCTCTTTGGGCAGGGGCAGGCACTGCTGGAAACAGTATGCTGTCTTCAGACCGGGAAGAGGAAGGGTGACGGACGGGGCTGTTAGAATCGATCGCCCCTACTAGAGCAGTACTGAGGAGGGGGTGGCATGCAGATAGAGTTTCAGGAAGAGGCCTCTGTAAAGACCACCAGAGCCCCAAGATTTGGCTTCACAGAACCAGGCATGAGGTCAGCATGCTAGAGGAGCTGCCATGGTTGGGCAGCTGAGAGTGAAGAATAAGCAGTTGATGGAGAGGTGTAGCATGCTGGAACTCTGGTGTTGGGGCTTCAAAGCAAGGGAGCCTGAGGATGAGATTTGTGTGGGTAGAATCGTGGAGCCTACCTTGAAGAGTAGGGCTGGGAGAGAAAAGTGGCTGGAAGTGAGTTAGGAAGCTATGTCTGGCTGGGCTGGCATGTTGGCTTACGCCTCTATTCCAATACTTGAAAGGTAGAGCAGGAGAATCCAGAAGGTCATCAAGCTACATAGTGAGTTCAAAACCAACTTGGGCTATATAAGACCCTGTCTCAAAAACAAAAAGCCAAACAAACAAACAAACAAACAGTCAGTCATCAAAGCGAAGGGTAGATGGCAGAAATTCCTCACATAGCACTGACAGGTCGGCTCCAGGGAGGACTGGGCAAGAGGAGTGTCGAGCACATCCCAGGGCTGAGGCTTCAGGAGCTCCAGGGATAGGCAAGATTTTCCATACAGATATGTCCATACAGACATACAGATGGGTTGGAGGGTTCTTCACCTGGGTAGACATGTGTGTACTTACCAAGGTGAACAGGAGTTGGCATGTTGATTTTATAAAGCAAAAGAAAAAGCATGCCATGCCAAGGAGGACAAGTGACTAGATGTGTGCTTGGCTCTGTCCAGAGCGGCCTTATCTGTCCTCTAGCTGCTGAGGGCGGCTACTTACCTTGGTCATTGCCTAGATAGCAGAGCCACCCAAACCCTGACCATTACTCTGCTCTGACTCTATAGACCCCAAAGGCTGCCCTGACTTCAAGGTGGGTCAAAGATGAAGTCCTAGGACCTCTAGCTGGAAACTGGTCCTGAGCCTGCCTTCTGCTTAGTCTTCTCCCTCCTCTGTCCTCAGCTAGCCCTGCCCTGCCTCCAGGGTGACCAAGACAACCCAGTCAGTGTTCTTAGATCAAGGAAACTTGTTGAGAGAACAGGACATTGGACACTAAAAGTGGCAGAATCCAGGAGAACCAAGGGTGTTTAGTATAGCTGTGTGTTTGCATGTCCCTCAAAGAGGCGTATCAAAGTCCTAACCTGAGACTTGTGAAATTGCAAATATGGCCTTTGTAGCTGCCATTAAGATTAATTAGGGCCAGGTGGTGGTAGTGCACACCTTTAATTCCAGCACTAGGGAGGCAGAGGCAGGTGGATCTCTGTGAGTTCAAGCCAGCCTTGTCTACAGAGTGAGTTCCAGGACAGCCAAGACTGTTATATAGAGAAAGCCTGTCTCAGAAAACAAAACAAAACAAAAAGATTAATTAGATACTGAACTGTACCCCACTGTGTTCTTTTTTTCATTTTCCATTCCTTCTCTCTCTCTCTCTCTCTCTCTCTCTCTCTCTCTCTCCTTTACCTTTTTTGTTTGCTTCTTTGAAACACAGTGGCCTACTGTAATCCAGGCCGACCCCAAGCTCCCAGTGATCATCCTGCCTCACTCTCCTGAGTCCTGGAATTACAAGTTTAGTCACCATGCCAGGCATCTACCTTTTTTAGACATGTTTGTTTAGTTTGTTTTTGAGACAGGGTCGGATGTAGTCCAGGCTAACCTCAAACTTGCTATGAAACTAATGACCTTGAACTCCTGACCATCCCAACCTCTGTTTCCCACGTTATGCGTGTGCAGGTGCTAGCCACCACGTCTAGCTTTAGTTTTTTCTTCCCCTTTTAGAGGCATGTTCTCATATAGCTGACCCTGGCCTTGATTTACAGATCCCCGTCTCCACCTCCCAAGTACTCAGATAACAGGCATGCACCGCAATGCCCAGCTGGCATGACATCTTTTATGCCAGGGTGACCATTTTGAGATGAAATATTACAACTCTTCCTTTACATTGCTTTTCATGTTTACCCACCTGTTTAGCATCTCCTTCACCTAGGAAGAACTGAGTTCCATCAATATTTATTTATTTTCAGTACAAAGACCCTCTTTTGGTATTTCTTGAAGCTCGGGGCTGAAAACTGCAGGTCATCTTAGTTTTGTTTATCTAGAAGGGCCTTTATCCCACCTTTAATCAGGAATGATCTCTTTTGCTGTTAATGGACTCCTGGGTGTGTGCAGTCTCCCCACCCTGATCACATTAAAGACCTTATTCCACTGGGGATGGCCTCCACCGTTCCCATTTTTGTTTGTTTTGAGGCAGAGTCTCATGTATCCATTACCAAGCCCTTCTTTAGGTTCCTCTGCTGACTGCTCTAGTAGCAGTGAGGATGCTATGGACTTAAAGTGGTGGACCTTGCTGCCCTCAAAGAGATGATGTGGTAGGATGACCTTGAACCCTCCCTGTCCTCTTTCCCACATCTCCCATGTGCCCAGCACCTGCCCTCAATCATCTTTGGTGAGAAGTCAGCTACTATTTGTATCTTTTTGCAGTATGCAGTAATCCATTTTCCTTTGGATTCCTTTCACTTGCAGGAGTGTTTTTGTCTTGGTTGAGGTGTGGTGATATTGGCAAATCTGTAAGTCTGCTGGGGACAGAGCAAACGTGAAAGACCATTATTTCTAAAATATTATTTCTCCCCTGTAGTGGGCAAAATAATATCCCCTCAAGGATGTCTACATCCAAATGGCCAGAACTTGTGAATATGCTGTCGTCTTACTCTGCAAATGGGATTAAGCTGAGGACTTGGAGAGAGGGGCTGTTCCTGAGGTATTCCACTGGGTCCACCAGCGTCACAATGACTCTGACAAGAAGAGGGGTGAAAAGTCAGAATGAGGTGCCCGTGAGAAAGCTTCATCCCAGTATTGTGGGATTTGCTGATGATGGGAAGAGGAGGGCATGAGCCACAGGCCCTGGGTGACTTCTAGAAGCTGGAGAAGTCCAAGGCAGCCAGGAATGACGGCACACATCTGTGCTCCCAGCTCCTGGACTGAGGTCAGCCCTAAGTTAGCAAAGGTCAAAAACAAAAAATAAAAGAGCAAAGGACTGTGTTGTTTTAAAGAAACTTCAGAATAAAATGCAGCTAGTGGACACCTTGATTCCAACCAAAGAGACCTGCAAAGTCACATTGCATTGTCTGTGGCAGCTTGATACAACAGCCATGGAAACTAAGGTGTCTGAATATCTTTGGGATTCCAGTGATTTTTTAATTTAAATATGATTACATCATTTTTTCCTTTCCTTTTTCTTCCTCCAGCTCTTCTAATGCACCTCCTTGCAACTTATAGAAGAAGGGTTTTGTGTGCTTACATTTCTAGAGGGATAAGAGTTCATCCCCATCACAGTGGGGAAGCTTGGCAGAGGGAGGGCATCATGGCTGCAGCAGCAAGCTGAGAACTCACATTTCAAACCACAAGCATGAAGCAGAAAGTGAACTGAGAATACCCTGGCTTTTTTTTTCCCAATTCATTTAACTTTATCTTATGTGCATTGCCATGAAGATGACTGATCCCAGGTTATGGGAGTTCCAGACAATTAGCCGACATGTAGGCGCTGGGAACTGAACCCACGACCTCTGGAAGAGCAGCCAGTGCTCTCAACTGCTGAGCCATCTCTCCAGCATGGCTTTTAAAGCCCAAAGCCCAACCCCAGTGACACACTTCCTCTAGCAAGCCGTCCCTCCTAAACCTCCCCAAACAGCACCGCCAACTGGGGACCAAGTCTTCGAACGTCCAAGCCTGTGGAGGCATCTCGTTCAAACCACAGTGATGCAAGTATCTGAGTCCCTTCTGTTTCTGTAAGCAACCTCTGCAACTAGACTTCAGCAGGAGTCTTACGCTGGCTGTCATTGGTTCTCTGCTTGGGGGGGGGGGTGGCCATTTATCTTTATCTCAGGAAGAGTGTCACATGACACTATAACACGATGAAAGTGGCATTGCCCCAATCAGCTCCAGGCAAGTTCAGAAGACACAGATGCGCCACAGACCCAAATGACGGCTACCTGCACAAGGCCTGGCTCCCTCACGGTGGTCCTGAGTGGCAGCATTGAGGGAGAAGTCCCCAAGGACACAGCTTCTGAAGAGCACCATGCCATCTTCCTACATGAAGAGAAACACAAGAGAAAGCAGGCAAGGCCACGGGCAGTGAAGGAGGAAGATACATCAGACATCACAGAGGCCTTTTTGCCCCTGGCCTTGCTGTCCCATTCTCAGAAGAACTCCAATCTCGGTGGTAGTAGTTGGCTACATCGTACCCCTGAGCACTGGAGTGGGCTTAGACACAGGTGTTCTATATCATTCTACATGAAGGTCTGCTAGACAAGGTTTCTACATCCAAAGGGTCACATGGGAGGTCTGGGGCTGTGGCAGCCATTCTGTAACCACGAGGCAGGCTGAAAGGTCACGCACAGAGCTAGTGATGCTATCCCTGAGCCTCTCAGATGAACACACTCTGAGACTTGCGACAGGGATGAGCCAGCAAGGTCCACCACTTTAAGTCCATAGCATCCTCACTGCTACTAGAGCAGTCAGCAGAGGAACCTAAAGAAGGGCTTGGTAATGGAAGAAGGGGGAGCGGGTTTGCTGCCTGCAATGGCGGCTAATGTTCCTGGGTCCTCACCCCTGCCTCCAGTGCAGTTCTGGACACCTCACACCTACTAACTGCTTAAACCCTAAGGACACATCCTTTTTTTTGTTTTTTGTTTTTTTTGTTTTTTGTTTTTGTTTTTTTTAACAGAGTCTCACTGCCTCTGTCTCTCAAAGGCTGGAATCATACCAGGCCTTTGTTTTTTTATTTTGGTTTGTTTAAGACAGATCTCACCAGACTGGCCTTCCTCTCCCAGCAATCCTCTTGCCTCAGCCACTGGAGCCCTGAGATCCTGCTATTACAAACTGCCTCTCCGTTCTCAACACTTGCCCCTTAAGGCCGACTCTTGATAGTTGACAGTATCATGACACTGGACAACCCAAGAGGAGCCTTTGGAATGTCACACAGCCAGGAGAGCTTAGGAAAGGTGAGGCGGTCTATTGCGCTGTCCTGTGAGACACACAACGTATTTTCAAAGATCAAAAGCAAAGTGCCTAAGCAAAGTGCTGGAGGTCCAAAGCTTCGTAATTGACGATGGCCTAAGTTAGGCCAAGTGGTGGTCTCTGGTGGGAAGAATAGTGGACAGGGGTTATATTGTAGGCAGAGCAGAACAGCCGGGCGGAGAGTAGCGGAGGAGCATGTGAGACCGCTCTTAGGCACTGTGGTGTGAGGGGGATATTGATGTTGGAGGGAGTTGGGGCAATGGCATCAGGTCTTTTAAGATAGGAGGTAACAAGAGGATCGGCCTTAGACGGCATTAGAAAAACCTTCTAGACCCTGGAAAGACCGCACAGAATTGGTGGCTCTCCCAGCATTCGGGAGACAAGAAGCGGATGAATCTCTGAGTTGGGGGTCAGCCTCAACTTCCCACCGTGGAGGTTCAGACCTGGGCTCCAAAGTGAGCAAGTGCTGTGAAGTGGGATCACCTGATTGCCAAGGGTGCTGGGCTCATTCAAAGTAGGGGAGGGAGAAATTTGGATTCCAGGAATCTGCTTCACTTTCATGGGTGGCTACAGAACAAGGAAAGCCAGGGCAGAGCCGTGGCAGGGACTCTGGGCTCAGAGGTCTCCAGGATCCTGGCATCTCTCCCAGCAGGTGACTGCGCCACAGGAGATAGAGTGGGCTCCTGACCACCTCCTTTCCCTCCAGCTCTGGACGTGGCCGACCACAGGGCTCCCTCCTGACAGCGCGGCTCCCTGCACCCAGACAGTGGCTCTCCCTCCTCGGTGGCCGGGGATTAGCTCTCTGAGGACTAGCGACGGGATTAGCACGCGCGAAAGCGGCGCCCGGCCCGGGGATTACCGCACCTCCCACCCCCGACGTATATATTCGGCCGCTCGCGCCGGCGACCCGCGGGCATGGCGACTGCAGGCAGCGCGGCGAGCCGCAGGGACCCTGGACGACCCTGCCCGTTCTCCATCGAGCACATCCTCTCCAGCCTGCCTGAACGCAGGCCCGCGGCGCGGCCGCTGCAGCCCGTCGGTGGCCGGAACCCCGCTGAGCCCGACGAGCCTGAGGCGCCTGCCGCCGCTGCGCCCTGCGCCTGCTGCTGTTGCTGCGGCCCGCGAGCAGCACCCCGCGGAGTCCCGGAGCCCGCGTCCGGACCCGGTGAGTGCGAGCGGCGGGGCGGGGCGGGGCGGGGCGGGGCGGGGCGGGGCGGGGCGGGGCGGGCCCCGGGATCTCGCAGGGCGGCCGGCGGGGCGATCTCGGCTCCAACCCTAACCCTCACCCTCTGCCTGACGCGCCCTCGCCCCGCCCCGCAGGCGTGCGGCTAGCGTGGCCGCTGAGGCTGGCACCCGCCGCTCCCTCGCCCCTGACGGCGCCGAGCGCAGGCTCGCCGGCGCTGACCGGCACGAGCGGCCCCGGCCCGCAGCGGCGCACGCGGCGCCACCGCACCATCTTCAGCGAGGAGCAGCTGCAGGCGCTCGAGGCCCTCTTCGTGCAGAACCAGGATCCCGACGTGGGCACGCGGGAGCGCTTGGCTGTCCGCATCCGCCTGCGAGAGGAGCGCGTGGAGGTGGGTGTCCGCCCGCAGCCCGGAGGCCACTCCCGCGTCACTCTTCTCTCTCAAAGACCGACCTTCCAGAGTGTGCCTCACCTCATAGCCCTCCACGCTGGAGGGAAACCCCCCAGGATCAGTGGATGGGGGGCGCAGGACCAGTTCCCCCAGCAGGTTCTTTGAGTGTCGCCGGAACTGGGGTTAAGAGTCGTTGTCTCTGACTTCGTCTGTCTTCCCCCTTTCCCCTGCTGATGAAAAATGCTTTCCATTCATGTCCCAGATGTAGGCAAGTTAAGAAATGTGCAAAACTAGTCAGGCACTGTGGCACACGTCTGTAATTCTAACACTCGGGGAGGTGGAGACAGGAGGATCATGAATTCATCAAAGTTGTCCTTGACACATAGCGACTCAGAAGCCAGCCTAGATTACATGGGACTATGAAACACATGGAGACAGAGAGAGATATCCTGGTTGCTAGTGGGCCAAGACTGAGGAGACTGGGAAATCTCCGTGCAGGGAGTCTAGGTCCTTTTCTGTGTGTGGATAAGGGAAGTGACGCAGGTCCATTCACCTACACCTCTGTGGTGAAGCCTACCACCCCGCTCACCTACAAGCCCTTCCGAAGTTCTTTGGGTGTGGGTCCATGGACCCTGAGCTGTCTTGGTCCCTCTCCTCCTCAGGTCTGGTTCAAGAACCGCCGGGCCAAGTGGCGACACCAAAAGCGTGCTTCGTCAGCGAGGCTCCTGTCTGGAACCAAGAAACCTCCCAAGGACAGCTGTTGACAGTGTCTGGAGGTTTGGGCAGTGACGTGGAGCACAAGAAAGTAGGAGGGAGGGAGACAGACCTACTTGAACAGAAACTAAGAGAGGACCGCAGTCTTCCAGCTGCCCAGTGCTGAGAGAGAGGGAATCCAAGACCTCCTCACCTATGAAGGGAGGGCACATGGGGCAGGAACCAGAGATCTCCTGCAGGTAAAGAGCAGGTCAGCTTCCTCAGGCACCATTACTGCCTAAAGAGGCCCTAACTCCACCCAGGGCCCCAAATCCTCTCCAGTGGAGTCTCCCTCCCCACCTCCTGCCTGCCTCCGGGACTGGCCCCTTATCTAGTCTTCCACCTTCTAAGCCAGGCAGTGGCATCGGCACAGGTCCTCAAAGGTTCAGCACTGGACCTTGGTGTCAGGACCTGTGGAATAAGAAGGTTGGTATTTTCCAGATCCCTGAACCTGCTCCTTCATCTCAGCCTTGTGCTGATACCAAGAAATAAACAAGATCTACAAATTCCACAGAAGAGTCAGAATCCCAAGTCCGAATGTCTCAGGCTTCATTTCCACACCTATAGAGGGGCTAGCTCCCCTCCCCCTTTCCAGGGAACGGGGGGTCAGCACGTCTTAGAGAGCCCAGTTCAACAGGTCTTCATCCCAGTCCTGTGTTTCCCCCATCAGGATTAAAGCCGGTGGATGGTGGCAAGGCCTCCTGGGATTTGCTATGGCCTCTAAGTACCACCAACTTGCTTCACAGGTGGGAGACCTTTGGCTTCTTGTCCTTGGAGGTTTCTGTACAGTGGCATCTGCCACTAGGGCGGGCAAGAGGAGATTACATTCAGGGAACATCCCACCCCACCATCTTGGGGAATTTTGTCTTCCCTTCTATAGTCATGGTCACACAGAAGTGTGTTGGGGTACACCACAGCATGAAAGCATGGCTTCCATTCCCTGCTGACCTGTGCAGTCAGCTGGAGGCAGCTAACACCCCTGCACCTGGCCTAATCTCCTTACTCTGTCTCCTCACAGGTCCTGGTGTGGTGATAATCTGTGAGAGATGTGGTCCATCCATGAAAGCTAAACTCTAGAACCAATGGCAGGAGGTCTTGGCACTGTGTAAAGATGGCTGGTTTGGAGAACACTGAGCAGGCATGTATCCCCAGCCAGAGCTGTTCTAACACTGCCAGAGACCTCCAGGATTGGCGATTCTCCTCCCCAGTCCCTTGGATGCACATGTAAGGCGCCACCAGACTCTTCTTCCTGAACTTTGGCCTTGCCTTCGAAGACTGCACTGTCTCCTTCAGACGCAGCTGTCCAGGAGGTCAGCTCACCTGCAGGCTTGGGCATTCACATTGTGCTGGGTTCCAGGCCCCTGACCTCCTCCGTTCTCCAGAATCTGAGCTCACCTGAGCTTCTGCCCTCCTCTCACCGTCACTGTCCCCTGAAGAGGCTCCTCGCAGCCCTCACCTGGCACCTGGCATTAGCAAGTGTCCAGAGGCTCCCTTCCAAGGCCTCTCCCATCTCCATTCTCTTCTTTGAAAAATAATCAGTGTGTGTGTGCGTGCGTGCGTGCATGCGTGTGTGTGTGTGTGTGTGTGTGTGCGCGTGCGTGCGTGTGTGTGTGTGTGTGTGCGCGCGCGTGTGTGCGTGTGCACATGTCTGCCTGCGTGTGTGCATGTGAACCACATGTCTGCCTGCTGCTGGTAGAGATCAGAAGAAGGTATTGGAACCCCTGGAACTGGAGTTGTGTGCCACCATGTGGGTACTGGGAACTGGACCCAGATCATCCGGAAGAGCAGCAAGTGCTTTTAAAGGATGAGCTATCTCTACACCCCCCTCCACTCTCTTTTTGATGTGTCTTTTTCATCCTCGAGCTCCAATCCCCACCTCTGTTGCATATATTTCCGTCTCCAGTCCAGGCCCCCCCTGACAACACTTGGAAACCCACAGCCTCCTCACACTTGCCTTGTGTACAGTGAGCCGTTGGCCTTGTTTAAGACACATGAGTTCTTGATCGCCAGTAGCCCTCTGTCCCTCACCTAATCACACCAGGCCCATCCAGTCTCACCTCCAAACGGGTCGGTAAACCCCACTGAAACTGGCTTCTCTGCACTTAAGCTTGGTTAACCTGACAAAAACTGCTGGCACCTTGCGTCATGACCATTGCAGCTTTCTCTAGTTATATTCACCGGAACCACTCAGCCTCCCTTTAATCCAAAACAAAAATAATATTTCTTGCCAGGACCCCAAAGATACTGTGAGCCTGGCTCTGCCCCCCAACCCGCTGTCACATCCATCCTTTGCACTGCACTGTGTAACCAAAGGCCTGCGCTGGAATTTGCCTTGCTCCATCCTGGGCCTTTGCCTGTCTTTTCTCGTTCCACTTGACTGATGCCTATCCATTCCTCTTTTGGATACGATCTGCCTGGAAAATGCCACTTGATACATGTCCTGTGTAGAAGTCACGATTCTCTGAGTACAGACTTCTTGCAAGTCACAGGCGTGATTTTACACATTTGCAGGATGACTTAATGTGTGTGTTTCTCTATTATTATGGTGAACGCTATGGGGGCAGGGACAGAGCCATAAAGTCCCCAGTGACTCCCAGTGAAGGAAGAGACCATTGGAAAAGCAAAATTGTACCAAATCATTCTGGGTTAGAACTTGTTTGTTTGGGGTAATTCACGATCTCCCTTACGATGGAAGTCCCATGAATGCTTTCAGTGAGTGCAGGCCTCTTTTGGGAAGCCCACCCCGGCAGGTGGAGAACTAATAAATCGAACCAGAGATTTAAGCGCCCTCCGATTCTTTCTTTTCATTTACCTTTTGTTAGATAACTATCTATTGTCTTAGTGTTCTTTCTCTGAGTTTTGAAGTTATATATGACCAAGTTTTTTTTTTTTTGAAGTATTTAAAAAAGACTTTGAAGCATATGCAGTGGTTTTTTGTTGTTTTTGGTTTTTTGAGGAAAAAATGGAACTTCTAACAGGGGGAATGTGGCGTCAAATAGTCACCCCACAGCGCCCCCTAGTGACCATAGTCTAGACAGGCACGAGCAACGCGGGTGGGGATCAAAGACTACAACTCCCTTAAGATCCGGCGCTCCCAATGACGTCATTGGAGCGCCGGCTTTGTTACAAAATTACTGCTTCTCCATTGGCTGGCTGTTGGTGCGGTGCCTACGGCGCCCGAGCGGTTCTGGGATAGCGATGGGGACGCCCGGGGCCTCAGCGGGATCTCTGTTTGTGCCCTCCGCGTCCGCGCCCCCGAGGAAGCGCGCGGCCGGGGAGACCGGGGTTGCGAGAAGCAAGCAGCGGGTTCTGGATGAAGAAGAGTACATCGAGGTACCAGCTCAGGGCGAGCGCTGGCGACTTCCGGGCCCCTCCCCCGATTCGCGTTCTTCTCCAGTCCTTTGATTTTTTTTCTGGTCTGGGAACTCTCAGCCGCCTGTGGAAGCGGAGCAGCTGCCTTTGGGTTTGGGAAGTCTTGAGAGCCAAGAAAACAGTGCAGAAGCGGGTGTCCAGTTTTCAGCGGAAAGGAGCGGTCCTGCTGTCTGTTGAGGGTCAAAGAAAAAGTTTCCAATTGAAATATGGGTAGAATTTTTACATGTTTTTAGATGATGGCGAAGACATTAAGTGTAAAGTCCTGGAAATAGGCCGCGGTACTGGCCGTGTTATTGAGTGAGGGTCTCTGTTGCTCCTCGAGTTAGGGGTCCCACTGCAAACATGCTGGAGGGCAAGCTGACATAGGTCTGGATTTAGACTAGTTAAATTATGCTGGCATGTATGTACCTTCACCACGCCACTGGGTATAGAGATTTGCAGATCCACAGCAAGGTCTGACTGAAGGTGAAATCTTGGGAATTTCATCCGGTGGTGGCGTTAGTGGTGACTGGCTTTCAAGAGAAAGGTTTGGATTGAAGTAAGAATTCATGGATGGAATGAGGATGGCAATATCCACATTAGTCTGACTGGTGTTGTAGACGGAGCCAGCAAAGGAGAATGAGAAAGACCAGCTGGTGAAGGATTTTATAGACATCAAGAGATTGTTGGGTAATGTTAGATAATACATCAGAGCCATATGGGATGAACAGCATACTAGAAAATGCTCTAAACTGTCTTGCAAACCGCAATCATCCAGATAGGCCGAAGTGAAAGGACCTTAGGGCCTAACGTGGATAACGGTGGACTGTGAGTCGTGGCTCCCAGATGCCAGCTTTGGCCTTTGTTCTGATTGCTTATGATAGGGACTCCAGACAGTCATCCAGAGAGATTTCTTCCCCGATGTGGAGAAACTACAGGCACAGAAGGAATACCTGGAGGCTGAGGAAAATGGAGATTTGGAGCGCATGCGCCAGATTGCCATCAAGTTTGGCTCTGCCCTGGGCAAGATATCTCGGGAACCTCCACCACCCTGTAAGAGGATGCCGTTACACAGGGCAGAGAGGGGAAGTCTATTGTCACTTTAGACTCGATCTAATTTCTAACTTGCTTCCCTCAGATGTTACTCCAGCCACCTTTGAAACTCCTGAGGTTCATCCAGGCTCTGGTGTGGTGGGCAGCAAGCCCCGGCCCCAGGGTCGGGACCTAGAAGATGGTGAGTGAACTCACTCTTTAGGCCTCATGGTCAAGAGTGCTTGGGAGTCATGTTGAGTTTTCTCAGACTCACATTTCATCCTTGAGGGGGTCTCCTGACCTAAGTATCAACTTTTGGGATCAAAGACACTGGTGTGGGAAGCGGAAGATTATCCAACTCCATTGTGGAGGAACAGTGGTCTGGGCCTCTGGCCTCTCCGAGGGTAGAGAGTCCATTACTGTCACCAGGCTGTTGGGTGTGCCAGCCTTTGCCTTGGAGACTTTGGGGCTTGGGGACTCTTTCATTACTGACTGCTGAAGATGCCGCAGGCTCTCTTCCTTTCTTCCACACCAGTTGCTTGTTGTGTCTCTTCCTTCGGGTCCCGTGTTCAGGTGTGACCTGTTTGGGCTGAGAGGCAGAAACTTGTGTGGACGTTATGTTGATGTTGCGTTGAGGTTCCCAGCCTTTTGTGTAAAGTTGGAACACCCTGGGGCTCTATGCTGCTCAGACTGCCTTTGTTTTTCTGATTTGTTTGTTTGGTTGAGACCAGAGTCTCATTGTTTCCCACATTGTTGGCTTTGTGTTTCACTGCAGGATATAACATTTTGGAAAGCATTTCTGTTTATTGCCTCTCACCCTAATCACTAATTCGAATGCCTCCCAGAGAGCAGGGTCTTGGTCTTGCTTCCATCTGTGTGCTCCACATTTAGCATTAGCATATACCACATTAGCATATGGTATGCTGCACTATCAACAGATATGTAGAGCAGATGAATGTGTTGTCTTCAACATGTTTCCTGAACATCGGATATAACTATGGGATGTATCTTAAAGTGAGGAGGACCACTTTATGAATCTATTTATTGAATATGTGAGTGTACCGTATACTAAGGGACTTGTATGGGTCAGTTGATCTTTTTATCAGTAATTGGATATATCCCTAGAGGTGGGCAGGATGTTTTCTCTACCAAGCTCTAGTCTACTGCATACTGTACCCGGGCATATGTACAACATGCTCACACAAGCGTAGTTTCTCAACAGCCCAGCTTTTTCTGCCGTGAACACAGTAAGAGTTACTCTTGGAGCTTGAACTCTTGAATGAAATACGATAGAGTCACAGCAATTTGAAAATGCTCTTCTTTTTATACACATATATTTTATCAGTAAATATTGGAGTCCTTGTAATTGCAAATAAGGAAACAGGCTTCCAAAGGCTGTAACTTCTGTAGGTGTCAGAAATAGTCAACAGTTGAAGGGACCCAGGTCTGCCCCCTTTCTAGCCCAGGTCTTGAACTTCTAGCCACTGTGTTTGGCACTGGCTGGCACACAGTCAAGACTGTCAGTAGAATGGATGAGAAGTCTCAGCTTCACATGCCCCTGAGATCTCCAGTGCTGCCTCTGCAGGAGTATCACTCGCCTTGGTGGCAGGGATCGAGATGCTGTGGTTGGCTTCTGTGGCCCAGAGTCCGTGTGGCCCTCCCTGGAGCGCTGGGCCATATGGGCTCCTGCCTTAGGAGTTAACTGGCATACCCTGATGCATAGTGACTGTCACTCACCTGCAGCACCAGTCAGGAAGGGTAAGGCAATCCCAGGGAGGGAAGAAGAGCCCCTGGGACTTCGAAGGTCAATCCTACAAACAGTACAGTTGGGAGAGGAAGAGCCTACTCAACCGTCACCGTGAGCTCCTGCTTGTCCCTGCCCCTTCACCCGTCAGCCAGATCACGAGAAGAGCTGGCCAGTCACTGAGGATGCCACCTGGACAGTTGGGGTGTGTTGTGTCATCTGGCAGGAGCAAGGATTACAGAGTGGTAATCGTGCTGTGTGTGGTATTGTGTTTCCCTACCTGTGACCCCTGAGCAGGAGAGGCTGGAGATGAGGAGGAGAAGGAGCCGCTGCCCAGCCTGGATGTCTTCTTGAGCCGCTATACAAGTGAGGACAATGCCTCCTTCCAGGAGATCATGGAGGTGGCCAAGGAAAAAAGCCACGCCCGCCATGCGTGGCTCTACCAAGCTGAGGAGGAATTTGAGAAGGTAGCCCTGGAGTCTGAAACATAGGCACCTTCTTTGGGGATGGAGTCCCAGGGCCACAGGTACAAAGTCTGGGCGCCTCCCTGACCCTGCTTTCCCCCCATGTCACTCTAGCGACAGAAAGATAATCTTGAACTCCCGTCGGCAGAGCACCAAGCCATTGAGAGTGGCCAGGCTGGAGTGGAGACCTGGAAGTATAAGGCGAAGAATTCGCTCATGTACTATCCTGAGGGTGAGTGGATAGAACCAAGGAGCAGGACAGCAAGACGGGGGCCCGGGGGTTTGTCTTGTTATCTTTGAGCCAATGTTTAAAGTCTATATATGTGTTAGCTTGCAGCGTGGACCCGAGAGAAGTCCTGGTCCACCTTGGGGTTGGGGAACATGTGACATTGTGGGGCATTGAGGTCTCCCTGCACTGCTTTGTTCAGGTTTTGTAGGTGTGGCGCTTGCCTGGGAGTGACTTAGCTGAGGGAGTGTGCTTTCGCCCCTCAAGCTCCATGACCTCTAGGGCTGAGGTGGGGCATGGAGCTTCTCCCCGTGACGCCTGCTACCTGGCTCCTCCTCTCATAGGTGTCCCTGATGAAGAACAGTTATTTAAGAAACCACGGCAGGTAGTACACAAGAACACACGTTTCCTCCGGGACCCCTTCAGTCAGGCCCTGAGCAGGTCCCAGCTTCAGCAGGCAGCTGCCCTGAATGCCCAGGTGAGTCAGCAGAGCCACCAGGCAACTGGACACATGTGATGGGCTAACTGTGGAGAGATGTGGCCTCTCTAAGTTAGGTTTGTCCTGAGGCCAGATAGAGCTTAATTGGCAAAACAGCCCCTGTGACAGGACCCATCCCCCTTCCAATGGACCAGATGTATGACCTATGGGTCCAGCCCTGTATCAGCCACTATGATGTTGGCCTGAGGGGAGAGAAGCTTCTGGAAGCCAACCCAGACCCATACCTATCTATCAGGCAGGGAGGTGAGTAAAGCAATATATACTAGGAAGTGGCAGGAGGAGCCTGGCTGCTTAGGGCCTGGGATCAAGATGAGTAAGTGCCCTCAGAGGGTAGCTCTGGTCGTCATGGGGTTGGGGGAAGAGAGGCAGGAGATTGGGAAGATTCAGATGCCTCAAGGGAAAGAGAGCAGCAGCCCTTTGTAGCATTGCAACCCAAGAGGTTCCTCCTCAGGTAGAGGAAAGGGGCACCCCTTGCTTGATGTTCACTACCACAGTCCTCAAAGTCCTTGAGGAGAGATGAGGATGGGGGTCTTCCTGCTCTTTCCCAAAGGGATATGCCAGTCCTCGAGTCCCAGCCTATCCCAAGGAGGAGAAGTGTTTCCTCCGTGTCCGCTGCACCTGCCATCGGTCAGCTGTGGAGAACACCTTGACGCTGGTCTCTCTCTCTTCCAGCACAAGCAGGGCAAGGTCGGCCCTGACGGCAAGGAGCTTATTCCGCAGGAGTCCCCCCGAGTGGGCGGCTTCGGGTTTGTTGCCACTCCTTCTCCTGCTCCTGGTAAGAGACAGGCTGTGAGCCCAGGCTGGACAGGGCAGTGTACAGGCTAGACTAAGCAGACGTGCCTTGAGATGCCCCAGGGTACCAGGTCTTGTTCTGGTCTCCCTGTGATGTGAATAGGCAGATGTGCCTGCGTCCATGGTGCTTGTAGATGTAAATTCGGAGAGTTCTGTAGGTGGGGAGGTTCTGGACTCCAGGCCTGCAGTCTCTGCAGGGAGGCAGGCGAGAGTGGGTGTGGCCTTGATGCATAGTTGCTCTTTTGCCTCACGGCACACTGGCCTCCACACTCAGTGCCGGCTGCTGTAATGCTTCCCTCGGCACCCCTGGCCCTGTGCTAGGATGGGGTCCAACAGACCCACCTTTGTAGCTAGAGTTTTCCTGCCTGGCCCACAGTCAGGACAAATCTCTCTCACCTGCCAGTCCCACAGCTGCTCAGACCCAACCAAGTAAACACAGAGACTTATATTGGTTACAAACTGTATGGCCGTGGCAGGCTTCTTGCTAACTGTTCTTACAGCTTAAATTAATCCATTTTCATTAATCTATACCTTGCCACATGGCTCGTGGCTTACCGGCATCTTCACATGCGGCTTGTCGTCATGGCGGCTGGCAGTGTCTCTCTCACCCAGCTTCCTGTTCTCCCAATTCTCCTCTCTGTTAGTCCCGCCTATACTTCCTGCCTGGCCACTGACCAATCAGTGATTTATTCATTGACCAATCAGCAACACATTTGACATACAGACCATCCCACAGCAACCTTCTCCAACCTAAGTACAGCTGTCGTGCCGTGGGGCTCTGGTGTCTTTGAAATTTCCCTTCAGATGGTGGGGTGCTAGGCTCTGGAGTTTTGGGGAAGAGGGTTTGCCTGTTGGCCTTAATGTCAGCTGGGATACATGTGTTAGGAGGAAGACAGCACCCCAACTAGGTCCTCTGTTTGAGGTGTGGGCTCTCCATCTGCAGGTGTGAATGAGTCACCGTTGATGACGTGGGGAGAAGTTGAGAACACTCCCCTGAGAGTCGAAGGGTCAGAGAGCCCCTACGTGGACAGGACGCCAGGGCCGACTTTCAAGGTGGGTTGTGGTGAGAGAGGATCAGGCTGGACTCAGTGTGGCTGCCTTAGTACTGCTGCTCAAGACTGAGCACAGGACCTCTGCGGAAAGAGGGCATTATGGTGGGATTATCAAACAGGGATTTGGAAGAGTAGAGACCATGCCGAGGCAACAGAGCAGACCTGGAGGCTAGACTGTCACAGACCAGAAACTCCAACTGCCCCGTAAGCCTGAAGACTATGGGACATAGTGTGTGTCCCCAGAAGGGCTGTGTGCTGGCCTCTGGTTACACAGCATAGTAGGGACACTCAGGACAGTACAATGTGAGCGCAGCATTGTAGGAGTGGGTGGAATGGAGGTCAAGACGTAGAACAGACCAGAAAGGCCAAGTCAGATGAGGTCTGGTGTATGTCATGTGTCCTCTGTCTGGTGGAGCATGAAGCTAGAGGTGGACAGACAGCATATACAAGTCAGGTAGCTCCTGGTGGTTTAGGTGGATGGGTGGGTAGATATTCCCCTGAGAGCTATGGGGAAAGAAAGTACAGTGTCCTGGGCTTCAGGGAGTTTGTGGATAAAACAGAGTGTCAGTGTAATTTGGAATGTGAAGAAGGAAAGGTCCCTGATACTTGAGAGTATGCGTGCTCACGATGAGGGTGCTGAGCCCACTGGCTCAGGGTATCGAGTGGGTAGGCCAAAAGTATGAACCTTCTTTGGAAACCCAGCAAGATGAGATGTAGTGTTGAATAAACATCTAGGGATGCTTTGGTGGCTGGGTCACAGGTCATCTCAGGCCAGTCCCTCCAATACTGCTGCGATCAATTTGGAATGTGGTAGACAGCGATGGATGACGTCCCTGCAGCAGTAGAATCGGAATCACCAGGAATAGCGTAGCTTTCATAAAGCAAACAGAGACGTGTTCTGCAGTCCTGAAACTGCTTTCCTGACCCGTTAGGAGGACCTCCCTGATGTGGCACTACGGGTCCTTCCCCAGAGCAGCTGGAGAGCGTATGTACTACCTAGACAGATCACGGGTAGTCTTGGCTGTAGACTGTCTGGGATGTGAGATAACAGATGTGAGAGGGCAACAAACAAGATGCTGTTGAACATGAAAGCCTGGCCGAAGGCTCTGACCACACAGCAAGTGGCTGTAGACCTGCAGGGCTCTTCCAGGAGAGAGTTCTGAAACCATCCCTGGGCAGGCTCTGTGGGGCAGGCCAGCTGCGTCCTGCTGTGCCTTGTGCTGCCCAAGTGTCAAGCAGGATGGAAAGCTGGGGACAGACAAAGCGGAGGGTGTGGAAAAGGTGATGTTTCAGGTGGTGCAGGACTGCAGAGCCTTTGAGGATAAGGTAAGCTAGGTTCTGAATATTGGTAACAGCAAAGTAAGTTCCAGAAAAGTGAAAACCTTAAATATGAAACAATAATTATAGAAACTTCTAGAAGATAATGGTGTAGTTTAAACTTTTTGTTGCTGTTGTTATTTGTTTTTGTTTTGTTGAGTGGGGAGGGATTTAACCCAGGACCTGCTTCCTGTACACACCCTCCACCACTTTTAGTATCTGAAGTGCTGGGACTACCTTTTTTGTTTATTTTTGTTCTTTGAGAGAAGGTCTCACTATGTAGCTCAGATTTGCAATGAACTGTGTGTTGATCAAGTTGCCCTTGAACTCCGAGATCTGCCTCTCAAGTGTTGAGACTGAAGACGTGCACCACCACTCCCAGCTCCCAACACTATTTTGTTCGACATTTATCTATTTGTGTGAATGTGTATAAGCATTTGTGTGCATGGCATGTGACGTAGCACATGTATGGAGGTCAGAGGTCAACGTGCTAGAGTGCTTCCCTCATTCAGACCAGGTCATCAGGCTTTTAACAAACGCCTTGACCCACTGAGCCGTCTTGCTTTTGTTTGTCTGTCTGTGTGTTTTAAGACAGTGTCTCACTGGGTAGGCCAGGGTAGCCTCACATTCTTTAGTCTCCTAACAAGTGCTGGGGGTGCACGAATGCACCATTCCAGCTTGGGGGAGGGGCTTTTGACAGGCTATTGAGAAGGATGAGTTGCTGGGATTGTAGCAGCCATAGAGAAGAGGTTGGTGCCCACGCAGCTGCCCTTCTGGATAATGGACTGCCTGGTATGTAGCAGGCTCATCACAAGTCACCCACATGCCCGCTCCCTTGTAGATCTTGGAGCCAGGACGCAGGGAGCGCCTGGGTCTGAAGATGGCCAATGAAGCGGCTGCCAAAAACCGGGCCAAGAAGCAGGAAGCGTTGCGGAGAGTCACCGAGAACTTGGCCAGGTGAGAGGCAGCTGGATCCTGGGGAGGATAGGGTAGAGGTGAGTTTGTCCTGCTTCACTCCCACTCTAGCCTCCAAGGCCGTGTGGGCCATGGCTTGCAGGACGGAGCCCAGGGTATATCCACAGGTTCTTCTGTGAGGGCTGTGGCTGTGTGGAGCAGACTGTGAGCACTCTCCATCTCGCCTCTATAGCCTCCTTGGCCTTCTCTAGGAGGTACCTTTGGGCTCCTTGCCCAGCTGTGAGCTCCTGTTAATCCTGTGGAGTCATGTCATTCACATTGGAGAGATGGAGACTCCAGCGCTCAGAAGTGCTCCATCCAGCCCCACAGCCAGAGGTAGCAGTTCCACAGTGCCTCAGGTTTGGCCCGACTGCTGTGTCCAGGGTTGTCGTCAGCTCAAAGTGACCGTGTCTCTTGATAGGGCTCCTCCTGAGGAACTGAGGGAGGCCTTGCCTTAAGCAGCACTTGGCCGCTAACATGGTTGCTTTCTTCTACTCCTTCTCTACAGTCTTACTCCCAAAGGCCTGAGCCCAGCCATGTCCCCCGCCCTACAGCGCCTCGTGAGCAGGACAGCCAGCAAGTATACAGATCGTGCCTTGCGGGCCAGCTATACACCATCCCCAGCACGCTCTACCCACCTCAAGACCCCAGCTGGTGGGCCACAGACCCCAACAAGCACACCAGCCCCTGGGTCTGCCACACGCACACCCCTCACACAGGACCCAGCCTCCATCACAGACAACCTGCTGCAGCTCCCTGCCCGGCGCAAAGCTTCAGACTTCTTTTAGAGCCAGGCCTGGCTGGACCTATGGATGCTTTGTGGGACACTTTGTGGAGTGTGTAGAGCAGCTGTCTACTCTTCAGAGGACTTCAGGCCTTGGGGACCCAGGTCACAGGCAGTTGATTATCCCAGGAACCACAAGTGTATAGTGCTGTGCCATGGCACGTTCTGCTGACCACTCCCTTGGGAGTATAGCATTGGTGCTGTCCCCCAAGGCCCTGCTGAAACTGCCTTCTAGTTAACCCCCAACTGAACTCTGATTAAAGAACACCTGGCATTGTCTGGCTGGGCCGCCATTCCATGTCCTGGGGCCCACCTGGGTGTCTCAGGACACCGGCTAGAAGCAAGGGGCTCTGGGGGAGGAAAATGGCGCACAGAGCAGCCTTCTGTGCTGAGTTTACACTTGAGCCTAGCACTGTGAAGGGTAGCACAGCCCCCAGAAGTTGTGCCATTGAGCTCATGGGGTTCTAGTCCAGCTCCACAGCCTCCCAGCCAGGCCTGACCATTGGTTTGTTGGTTACAGGCCCAGGTAGGTCCTGCTTATCAGGTTCACACCAGGACGAGTCACTTTGCTGTGACTTCAACTGTTAGCTCCTAGCACCTAGTTCCAGCTTAGGTTGGGTTAGGCTGCCTCCCCATCCTAATCTCTGCTTATCCCAGTGTTTTTGGTACTTGCTACTGGGCTCTGCCAAAGCACCAGCCTTGCCTCAGTCTGGGCTGTATTATGAAAAGAAAGAGCGTGGGTTCCCTGTAAACCTGTAAGTGCCATGTGCACCAGCAGCCAGCTGTATAATACCTGTGTTCACAGTAAATACCTGTGAACTAAGGGTGGCTAGCCCTCAGGTGACTAGTGGCCAACTGGGCCTGTGAGCCTATGCCTTACAGAGGTGAAGGGTCCCTGCTGTCTGGGCCTGACAGGGTCCAAAACTGTGATCTGATTGCACAGCCAATGGTCTTGAGGCCGCTGGTGGTGTCCTAGGGCTTGCCCTCTGAGCAGCCCAAGGCTTGAGCTATTCAGGTAGCCTAAAGCACACCTGACTCTTCCCAGCCCCAGATACTGCTTTGATTCCATGAAAGCCATCTTTCCTGACTGCTGGCAGTGGTCCTCAGGCCTCTGCGCACTGGTGTTCTCTGGAGACTACCTGGGTTGGGTACCTCCTGCCTTGGGCCTTGGACTGCGTGGCATTTGTCAGTTTGACAAGCTAGTCACCTGGGAAGAAGGAACCTCAACTGAAGAATTACCTCTCGTCAGGTTGACCTGAAGGCATGTCTGTGGGGTAGTTTCTTGACTGCTAGTTGATGGAGGAGGGCAGGGCCCAGCAGTGGCATCCCTGGGCCATAGTTGTGTGAGAGAGCCTAGGAGTAAGCTAGAGAGGGAGCCAGTAAGCAGCGTTCTTCCATGGTCTCTGCTTCAGTTCCCACTTGGGTCCCTGCTCCAGCTTCCCTCAGTGATGGACTGTGACCTGAAAGTGTGCACTGAAATAAACCATTCCTCTCCTAAGTTATTTTTGGTTCAAGTTTTTATCTTGGCAATAGAAACAAACTAGGTCAGACCTCTGCTAACCAGAAGTTCCCCACAGTGAGTTCCTGTGCCCTGGAGCCGCAGGGCTGCAGCTGGGGATCCCAGGCTAAGGGCTTTGGTACTGTTGTCTCTTAGGGAAGGTTGAGCTTTAATCCAAGGGATTACCCAGTGAGTGGGAAGCAGAGAGTGGGGATGGCTGCTGCCCAGATGCTGACCACCTCAAGCATCTGGCCAGCATGAGGGAATCTTTAGGGAGGGGTGGTAACCAGGAAATGACATTGAGGGATGCTAGGGTTGCGGCACCACAGCTCTACAGGATGGGGAAGACGGCCACAATCTGTCAGCGGGTCACCTGGGAGTGGTGAGGTTGAGGCTTGGGCAGCAAAGCTCACTAATTTTGATCGCCTCTTTGGGGTTAATGGATACTGACCTGGGTAAGGACAAGACAGGGTCAGGATAGCTTGTATTGCATTAGATGAGGGGGAAGCATGGTGCAGTCCACGCCTGGAAGCCCTGGGGGTGGGAGAGGCCAGAGGCTGCCAAGTGTGAGCCTGGCAAGAGGACTATGACAGAGGTCCCCTCCGCCACAGGCCTCAATGAGTCTGCCTGGGCCTGAGTTCCTGGACCCCTATGCTAGAGATCCCCGCGCTGGATGAGTCCTAGAGAAAAAGACTCCCCACTGGACACTCTCAATGCTTGTATACACTTTGTGGTTTATTTGGTGGTCAGTATTAATGTCTTTGCTACTAAGTGGAAGAAAGCTAATAGAACATAATCAAAAGAGTGGTTTAATTGACGGATTTTACTTGTTCCTTGCGCCTGTGCCTTCTTCAGCTCCTACCTGCCTATTTAGCTTATGTGAGTGCAAACTGCACACCATGACCCCCCAGGGCCCACTCCACCACTAGGTACTTGCTTTCTCCACCTCAGCTCCAGAGATGTGATGGTCTTTAGCTCTGGAAGTCTCAGCCAGCCTCTCCTCCATCCTGTCTTCATTCTCGGGTGCCACCATCATCCGGTGCTGGGGTTTGGCCCCCAGTTTGTGGTCAGGCCGGTGTTCAGGTCTTGAGCCTGGTCGAGTATCCAGCTTGCACTCAGCTCGATACTTGCCCTCCCCCTCCCTCTTGAAGGAAGCAGAAGACATGGCTTTGGGCTTGGGGGGCTGTAGCCATGAGTGGCTGAGAATCTCATCAATGTTCAGCCGCCGGGTTGACATCGGGCTGTAACATCTGGTAGATGAGATCCTTGCACTCACCAGTCAGGTTCTTGGAGCGTGGGAAGTCCACTCGGTGCTCCTTCTGGATGCGCAGCATCTTTTTGATGTTAGAGTCATCATAGGGCATAGAGCCACAGACCATGATGTACAGGATCACACCCAGGCTCCAGATGTCATACACCTTGGGCTGGTAGGGGATGCCCTGCAGAACCTCGGGGGCCGCATAAGCCGCTGACCCACAGAAGGTCTTGCTGAGGACGATGCGCCCACTCCCGTCCCGCAGGCAGCGCTTGGAGAAGCCGAAGTCAGACAGCTTGATGTTGAAGTCCTTGTCAAGCAGAATGTTCTCGCACTTGAGGTCTCGGTGGACAACATCCAGATCATGGCAGTACTTGACGGTCCGAGGAGAGCTGGCGGAACATCTTACGTGCCACATCCTCATGCAGGGCTCCTCGGCACTTGATGAACTCGAGGAGGTCGCCCTGGACGCCCAGCTCCATGATAATGTAGATGCGTCCACCAGAGGTTTCAAAGATCTCGTAGGTCTTAATGATGGAACGGTGGTTGACAGTCGCCAGGATGTCCATCTCCCTAGGAAGGAATCTCTCCACAAAGTGAGTGGGTGTTTTCTTGAAGTCTATGATCTTTACTGCCACATTGAATTTGAGTTGCTCAGAGTAGGCAGATTTGACTTTTGCATAGGAGCCCTTGCCCAGATTGATTCCTACGATGTAACCCTTCTTCCTTAGGACCGCGGCATCGTCCATGGTGCCAGGAGCGGCCGGTGCCGCCGCCCTCTGCATCCCCTCCCGACACGGGCCAGCAAGCATTGTCCTCATTCCCACTGTGGGGAGGCGTCTGGTTGGGCTGGCCTGGACTTGGAGGAGTGGAGCGCTCAGCACTGTCACCAAGTGACCAGCGAATGAAGTCATAAAGCCAGGCTGCTGGGAGTGGGGACTAGGCTGTGGGCAATGGGGCCCCTGCAAGCCAGGAAGGCCTAGAAGGAGCACCCCCTCCCCACCCACTGGAATGAAGCTGGCATTCAGGCCTGTGGTAACCCTCCCTGGCCCTCCTTCTTGCTGTGGCTTCATTGTCACCAGCGAGGCCCAAAGGGAGGTGATCCAGGTCCATTCCCAAGCCTGTTTCCTTATCAGGCCTTGGGAACTGGTCCTGTGTGTTCCTCATTTCACGAGAGCCGATTCCCTGCCCTTTCTTTGGGGTTTGAAGAAAACCTCCTGTGAGCTTGTGACCCTGGAATCAGTGGAAGCTGCCCAGGTCCAGTCAGTCCAGTGGTGGTCCCAGTCTGCTGGATGAGAGCAGTTCCATGTGTGGGGTCAGGAGTTGGCAAGGGTCTTTGGGGCAGAGTGGGCAGATGAGCCACAGACCTGGTGAATAGGTGTGTGTGTGGATAGGAGGGTAGGCAGTGCTAGGGGATGTACCGAGGGTCCAGGGTAGGCAGGTGTGGAGGATAGATACAAACGTTGGTAAGATAACCAAGCAAGCAACCGCTGAGAATGGCTAAGTCAGGAAAGGAGAGAATGTCATGAGCTTTTCTCTAAATCATGGGCAGGCCTTGTACAACCCAAGTCATTTTTAAGACGGTTGCTGTTAGAGAAGCCAGTTGGCTTTGAGATGCATGTGGAGGCCCAGGGCCTTGGACCAGAGCAGGCCTCTGATGGTCTAGGGTGGGGGAATTGGGAACAGCCAGCCTGGGCCTTTCCTGGGAGGAGGGGACTGTGTTGGGCCTGGTGCTGGATGGCTCAGGGATTGATGGCCCTTAGCATTCTCCATAAGGAGCAAGCTTCTGAGTGGAGGGGTGGGGCTCACTGTACCCCCACCTTGGGTTTGTGAGTGGTGAGCAGGGATTGCATGAAGCGCTGCAGCACTGCTCACCATTTGCATGCTGCTCTGTCTTGTATTTTGTGCATTAATGTTTGTTTTGCAAATGGCATCTTGTATAATCTTGGCTACTTAGAAGTCCTGTGTTCATTTTCACATCTCACAGGAGTCTTACGCTTACAGTGAGCTGCCAAGATGTGACCCAAGGATGCTGTGTTCAGAGGGAAAGCAAGAAGGCCTCTTTCTAGTGGAGGAGGCAGGACAGAAGGCTTCCAAGGGGAAGTGACATAACCCAGGTACAGAGGAGCCCCCAGGGAGACAAGAGGGAAAAGATGATATGGGGAACAAGAATAAACCATAGATGCCACCTTGAAGTCCTGGTCCTAAAGCCCCTGAATGCTCCTACAGATGGCTGAGCCAGACTCTTCTTCCTGAACTTTGGCCTTGCCTTCGAAGACTGCACTGTCTCCTTCAGACGCAGCTGTCCAGGAGGTCAGCTCACCTGCAGGCTTGGGCATTCACATTGTGCTGGGTTCCAGGCCCCTGACCTCCTCCGTTCTCCAGAATCTGAGCTCACCTGAGCTTCTGCCCTCCTCTCACCGTCACTGTCCCCTGAAGAGGCTCCTCGCAGCCCTCACCTGGCACCTGGCATTAGCAAGTGTCCAGAGGCTCCCTTCCAAGGCCTCTCCCATCTCCATTCTCTTCTTTGAAAAATAATCAGTGTGTGTGTGCGTGCGTGCGTGCATGCGTGTGTGTGTGTGTGTGTGTGTGTGTGCGCGTGCGTGCGTGGTGTGTGTGTGTGTGTGCGCGCGCGTGTGTGCGTGTGCACATGTCTGCCTGCGTGTGTGCATGTGAACCACATGTCTGCCTGCTGCTGGTAGAGATCAGAAGAAGGTATTGGAACCCCTGGAACTGGAGTTGTGTGCCACCATGTGGGTACTGGGAACTGGACCCAGATCATCCGGAAGAGCAGCAAGTGCTTTTAAAGGATGAGCTATCTCTACACCCCCCTCCACTCTCTTTTTGATGTGTCTTTTTCATCCTCGAGCTCCAATCCCCACCTCTGTTGCATATATTTCCGTCTCCAGTCCAGGCCCCCCCCTGACAACACTTGGAAACCCACAGCCTCCTCACACTTGCCTTGTGTACAGTGAGCCGTTGGCCTTGTTTAAGACACATGAGTTCTTGATCGCCAGTAGCCCTCTGTCCCTCACCTAATCACACCAGGCCCATTCAGTCTCACCTCCAAACGGGTCGGTAAACCCCACTGAAACTGGCTTCTCTGCACTTAAGCTTGGTTAACCTGACAAAAACTGCTGGCACCTTGCGTCATGACCATTGCAGCTTTCTCTAGTTATATTCACCGGAACCACTCAGCCTCCCTTTAATCCAAAACAAAAATAATATTTCTTGCCAGGACCCCAAAGATACTGTGAGCCTGGCTCTGCCCCCCAACCCGCTGTCACATCCATCCTTTGCACTGCACTGTGTAACCAAAGGCCTGCGCTGGAATTTGCCTTGCTCCATCCTGGGCCTTTGCCTGTCTTTTCTCGTTCCACTTGACTGATGCCTATCCATTCCTCTTTTGGATACGATCTGCCTGGGAAATGCCACTTGATACATGTCCTGTGTAGAAGTCACGATTCTCTGAGTACAGACTTCTTGCAAGTCACAGGCGTGATTTTACACATTTGCAGGATGACTTAATGTGTGTGTTTCTCTATTATTATGGTGAACGCTATGGGGGCAGGGACAGAGCCATAAAGTCCCCAGTGACTCCCAGTGAAGGAAGAGACCATTGGAAAAGCAAAATTGTACCAAATCATTCTGGGTTAGAACTTGTTTGTTTGGGGTAATTCACGATCTCCCTTACGATGGAAGTCCCATGAATGCTTTCAGTGAGTGCAGGCCTCTTTTGGGAAGCCCACCCCGGCAGGTGGAGAACTAATAAATCGAACCAGAGATTTAAGCGCCCTCCGATTCTTTCTTTTCATTTACCTTTTGTTAGATAACTATCTATTGTCTTAGTGTTCTTTCTCTGAGTTTTGAAGTTATATATGACCAAGTTTTTTTTTTTTTTGAAGTATTTAAAAAAGACTTTGAAGCATATGCAGTGGTTTTTTGTTGTTTTTGGTTTTTTGAGGAAAAAATGGAACTTCTAACAGGGGGAATGTGGCGTCAAATAGTCACCCCACAGCGCCCCCTAGTGACCATAGTCTAGACAGGCACGAGCAACGCGGGGTGGGGATCAAAGACTACAACTCCCTTAAGATCCGGCGCTCCCAATGACGTCATTGGAGCGCCGGCTTTGTTACAAAATTACTGCTTCTCCATTGGCTGGCTGTTGGTGCGGTGCCTACGGCGCCCGAGCGGTTCTGGGATAGCGATGGGGACGCCCGGGGCCTCAGCGGGATCTCTGTTTGTGCCCTCCGCGTCCGCGCCCCCGAGGAAGCGCGCGGCCGGGGAGACCGGGGTTGCGAGAAGCAAGCAGCGGGTTCTGGATGAAGAAGAGTACATCGAGGTACCAGCTCAGGGCGAGCGCTGGCGACTTCCGGGCCCCTCCCCCGATTCGCGTTCTTCTCCAGTCCTTTGATTTTTTTTCTGGTCTGGGAACTCTCAGCCGCCTGTGGAAGCGGAGCAGCTGCCTTTGGGTTTGGGAAGTCTTGAGAGCCAAGAAAACAGTGCAGAAGCGGGTGTCCAGTTTTCAGCGGAAAGGAGCGGTCCTGCTGTCTGTTGAGGGTCAAAGAAAAAGTTTCCAATTGAAATATGGGTAGAATTTTTACATGTTTTTAGATGATGGCGAAGACATTAAGTGTAAAGTCCTGGAAATAGGCCGCGGTACTGGCCGTGTTATTGAGTGAGGGTCTCTGTTGCTCCTCGAGTTAGGGGTCCCACTGCAAACATGCTGGAGGGCAAGCTGACATAGGTCTGGATTTAGACTAGTTAAATTATGCTGGCATGTATGTACCTTCACCACGCCACTGGGTATAGAGATTTGCAGATCCACAGCAAGGTCTGACTGAAGGTGAAATCTTGGGAATTTCATCCGGTGGTGGCGTTAGTGGTGACTGGCTTTCAAGAGAAAGGTTTGGATTGAAGTAA